CTCTAAGAAATTCCAACTCTTTGCTATGAAAGATGAAAAATAGAGTTTATGACTATCCCTCTTACTTCTTTTGTTTAAACGATAAAATATGTTTCTGGTCATCTCGGAAAAAATATTTTGCCTGCAAGGCATAAAATGAAGTTTGAACAATAATTTTGATCCAATGTTTTCTCAAACGGCTGCGTTGAATTCTACCCACCTATATCACTGTGATCTTTACCTAAATAAGATTTCTTTTAAAGTGCGCATTTCCTGTGTGTGTCACTACTACTAGCATATATAAATATGTTTATTTGCATACAATAATACAAGGATGGAGAATAGGATGATATGAAAATACTTGATATAATGATAATTACATGGAGGCAGTTGGGGAGCATTTGGGAAATATCTGTAACGGTCCCTGTTACAATTAAAACTAGTTTACTTTGATTTGACATTCGATTAAATTACAAAGCAAGGCGACAAACTAAAATTTACGTTTTTCATTCAAGGAAAATATACTTGGGAAAGAAATTCGGGCAAATATATAAACGAGGAACCAATGACAACGTTTCTTACTGTGAAAAGTCTGATGTTATTAATTTTGTTACAAGTGAGAATCGAGATCGACATTTGACTGACGATAATTATCAAGTCTAGTCCAAGCCAAGGATAACAGAGATTTGTACTATATTTTCTATTTTTCGATAGTAGCCCAATCATATCTTGGAAAAAGTCTCGACGTATCCTGTAATTGGCATTTAAAATTAAGAAATTTGATTTTGATTTACCCTAGGGGCAATTAAAGGTCGAAAACTATATTTTTGGTAAATTATATAATTATTGGAGCTTTTTCCCTTCATACTCAAATATGAAGGTGAGTACATGGAAAAAGCGGGTATTACTGTCTTATGACACCATCCTGTTCTAAAATACATGTAATTTGCAATGTCATTCGTGGCTTATTCATTATGACCAAATACCATAAAATGTAGAATTCACCTTAATCGTCAGATAATTTCAAAAATATTCTATCTACATATCAAATATGGAATTAAAAAATTTACAATTCCTATTTGTTAAGAAATCTTAGTAAGTTGATATGCAAAGATAAGATAATTTTGTTTTGATAATTTCATATTTTTTTTTCCATGATTAGTGAATAGCTTGTTTGCATTTAACGACAAGAAAATTTGAAAATTTCCGCATAACTTGGTGAAAAAATAGTGGAAACTGGGCTAAAATTAACTTCACGATAGGTTTTTATTAAAAAATGGTTTGCCAATGAAATATATAGTTGACTCACTTTTAGCCATATACTAAAGACTGTATCTGCCAAAAACGCAAATTTTGAAAGAGAAAAGTAGACCTATGATGTATTTAAAAGAATTTTTTTTTTAAAAAAAATCTACGTTCCTAAAGTGAGAGAAAGAGAGAGAGAGGAAGACGTACTCATAATAAGGAAAATGCGTTATTTTAACGTTTCTTTTATATTATCTTTATGATTTGAAATGGGTTCATAAGAATGTCTGTCTCCGTTTTCTTTTCCTCATAGCTAGATATGCATTAGGAGCTTCTGCTTAATATGCTCTGTTTTGACATTATGTTTCTTAGCTCTTGAAAATACATGCACATGTTTCTTGAAGGCACTTTTAGAAGTAAAATCAAAATTAATAAAAAGAGAGGAAAAACACTGTAAATACCATATATTTCCCAATCACACCTGACAAGTGGCGGTTGTTAACAAACACACATCCTTCCTTCCTAAAATCTGATGAAATTTTTATAAGACACGATTACTGATCAAAGTACATTAACTTTAGCTTTTCATAAGGAGAGTGGGTAATACCAACCTTTCGTTTGCATATGCAAGTGATTCTTGCATTATGTCAACATCCCGTTTTTGGACGAATGCGTTTTCAACAAATTCTACTGCAGTAAATTCGTACTTTTTCTATTAGTTTATGATAAAACTCGTTAAAACAGATTTAAATACAAAACAACACAGTCATATTTTTACACTCTGAATTATTTTCATTGATTTGTTTTTTTTTTTTTTTTTTTTTTTTTGTTTTGTTTTTTTTTGGTTTTTTTTTTTTTGTTTTGTTTTTTGTTTGTTTTTTAAATTGAAATTTTAATTTGGAAGAAACGATTACTCCCTTGATAAACTGATTTCCTGCCCCGTGATCTTGCCGCCATGTCAATACACTGGTTGAACGCAAGGGTTCGTTGAAATGTAGGAAGTTTTTTGGGGGGGAAAATGATCTATCGTTTGAACCAAGTTTGAAGGCCGGAGTACACGTATTTAAATATTTTGTGATATGAATCAAAAAAGAAACGACGATAGCTTGGTGGGGCAGACTATAACATGCCACACACAGCGAAAAGGGAGTTCCGTCAAGTGATGACCAAATGGTTCAAAGAGGACATAAATCTATTCCCTTATTTGTAATTTTCGGACAAAGACAATCGAAATGGTAATTTATTTCCTAATTCATTAGCCTGAGCTGTAAACTTTCTCTTTTTTGTGCTTATAAAAATTGTGCCATTATATAAATCACACAAATATGCGAACATATATTATTCATCATAATTTAAATTATTTTCCAATTGAGAATACTTCTTTATCAAAGGGGCACCAACCCATAGGGTCGGGATTGAATTTTGTTGACTTCCATTTCGATTAATGACTTAAAGCTACATACATGTAATAAATCGTTTCTTATAAATCTTTTAATTTCAGCATGCAGAGATAAATGGAACCCTTTCATAGACATTAAATATGCAGCATGATATTGTCAACGCATTCTGAGTTTCTTATCTCCAAATGTTATTTGATATTTTTCTTTACTTCTCATTGTACATAATGATAATGTCGATCTAATGTCTTAGTTCTACTTTTGGTGTGTCACAGTGTTTATTTTTACGGAAGCCGGTTGGTGCCAGGTAGAAAAAATATTTTATCTGGCGGCCGCCAGAAAGTTATCTGGCGGCCGCCAGATAAGTTATCTGGCGGCCGCCAGATCTTTTTATCTGGCGGCCGCCAGATAAGTTTCTGGCGGCCGCCAGATAGGTTTCTGGCGGCCGCCAGTTATTTATCTGGCGGCCGCCAGATAATTATTTGGCGGCCGCCAGAAACTTATCTGGCGGCCGCCAGATAAAATATTTTTCTACCTGGCACCTACCGGCTTCCGTATATTTTACATTTCCATGGACATAATTTTTTTAAAAATGCCATTAATGTATACAAATCGTACAAATGAAATCCAAGCGAGTGCAGATATTGATAATATGTAGCCCTACCCTTTCAAAAACTTGATACCTGCCTTTTGAACATTGACTCAGTACAGAGATACATGTATTTAATTAATTCTTAATATAGCACAAATAAAACAAACAAAACGTAACATAATTTCCAGCGCAATAACCCCAATCTCAGCGAGGTTCGTCGAGACAAAAAGTTGTGGACAGACGTCTCTTCCGAATCTCAGGCCAGTGCCACACAAAGTGACTCTGGAAATCTTGCTCGGACTTCGACCGCTTGTTTCGATCAATACGGGCTGAAATGAATTCCCTACCCGCTTCAAAATCTCGCTTTGGAGATCCTTTTAAATCCTTATCACTATAAAACTTTCGTTTCTTACCTTTAAAAGGTTTAAATCCGACCAAAATCAAGTTGTTGATTTTTTTCATACAACTGACATATTCGTTTAAACCTCCGACGCCGAAGATTTCCAGCCATAGTCTGCTTGAAATACTTTGTACTATGGTTCATTGCTATAGGAAATCATAGTTGAACGAAGTCTTTGAAGCAGACTACTTCTGGAACTCTTCGATATCTGTCCAAAATTTTGTCTCGACAGCAATAGTAGTACAGACGGAATAAAAGCAACGTAATTTAAAAAAAAAATGTACAATTATAGAAATCTATCGTAGCTCATTGCAGGCGAGAATACCCGAATCGAGTAACACAGAGTGAATGTAGGTTTTTGGTGATTTTCGACCTTAGGACAGGGTTTTCCCTAAAAAAAATTCCTATCTAAAATTATTCCTTACATCGCAACCTATCAAAATATCATAATTTTATTTAGGACCTGGCCTGTCATAAAGACTTCTAGGCCAGAATTCAAGCAAAAATCAGTTCTTTATCGGAGAATTCGACACAATTGAACCGTAAAATTTGCAATTTGTACCCCATTCTGTATGTTCTATAAAATTTTATCGTAAGTTTTATATGGAGTGTCCAAACAATTAATGGCTTGATATGACGTCAAAAGGGGGAGGATACTTTTCAAACGTCTATAAAGTTTTGCACCTGGAAAAACTGGTATAGACCTAGAGAATGCTTAAACAGGCCACAGAAAAATAAAATGCATTCAGGAAGAACTTTGGATGCATTTTATTTTTGGATGCATTTAGGAAAAATGTCCTAAAAGAAATTCAGAGAGATGAAAGATGCACAGTAAATGTCGATTTGAAGTCAGGGTGTCAAAAGTCAGTCACGCCGAAAAGTGACGTAGATCGTGTGTGGTAGAAAATGAACTCCAACAAGCTGTTCAGGACATTGTAAAGTCATATAAACAAGACGGGCTTAAGTCCTTACTAAGCTCCAGGTAATCCCATCAAAATAAGTTTACATGTATAAGGTAGATAGAACGGTCCTTAAGAAACAATGACGTTGTCGTGCACCATGAAACTATACGGCGACAGCGCCGGCTGATCTTATAATGTCTTTTTTATTTTGGAATAATTTGTCAAATTATCAATGTATCAAGCTAAAGTTTTTATCATTTCTTAAACTTTTGTTGTTTTAAGTTCCTTATAAATTTGTAAACACAGACTACATAGTATTAATTCTATCGCATCAGTCCACGAACTTTTTGATAACCCCTCGTATAAGGTTGAAAATAACAAATGAATATTGATTTTAAAATGTGACTTTTTCCGGGAAATTGTTCTCTCCTAAAGGTCAAATCTTCTGAAATTCCCTTTAATCAGCAAATATCCAATATTCTTACTTTTCTGTTTGAATTTGATGTAAAAACATTCATATCCATAATCATCCTTCACTGTCTGTGTGGCCTGATTCCACCATCTATCACCCGTAGCTTTCATGTCATATGACATTATTCCTGAGAAAACAAAATTTAAACAAGAGGCCCTGAGTCAACGGTCACCTGAGTATAATTCAACATCTATAGAAGTATAAAACAAAATTAACCGAGAGACGAAGTAATGTTGCTCAAGAATTTTAAAAATCTGATAAAAATACCCTTGCGTATTGTAATGCGCTTGACCCGAGTGATCTCCTTGGATCATACATGGTTTTCCCAAGTCTTACAGGGATAATAATGAATGCAAAATATACGTATACAATGGACACTTGCCTATGTAAGGTATTCGATATATACAGATATATTTTTGTCACTTGCCTAGTGTTACAATTAAGTACATACAGACTTGGCTATACAACGTGGATATTTTCCGTTTCTCACTAATTACAAGTCACCCTGGCTCTCTGTTATTCTTTGTTCACTTTGATAAAGTATAAAACAACTTTATCCAGTCTCTTGTCAACCATCACTTAACCTAACAATAACTCATCAAGTGTCAAAGAGATCACCACAGTGTAAACATACTGTGTACAACTATAACTTTGCTAAATTCGGTGTTCCCCCGTTTTACCGCCACCGTTCGTACCTCGGCAATTTTGGCGTTATAACAAGGGTGGCATTAAAACGGGGGACAGCAATAAGGCACTTCAAAGCAGAAGAAATTGCCCGTCATTGTTATTAAGTCTTTACTATTTTTTGCTAACATTTAATGTTAAAGATACTTGTCCATTGTTGATTTTGTCAAGTTACATATTACTGTTTAATAATTATATAACGTCTGTTATTTTCTGATGCAGTGTCCTTAGACCTAATATCGAATCACTTGTCAAAACTTCAAGTCTATGTCTGGCGTCCTTGCATTAAGTATTTAGTTTTTCACACCTAGGAAACTTGTATTCTATGTAAGAAACCTAATTACTGCTAATAAACACAGCACGGCTTGATTATCTCTTGAATTTTACGTACTATAGACAGCCAACAGGGATTAGCTAGGCTCCATTGCACATGGCACCTGTGAAATTGATACTTAATTGTGAAATACACAGAATATAAACGAATTTGATTATTTATGCATCAATTATTGTTAACTTTTTAGCTCACCAGAGCCGAGAGCTCAAGTGAGCTTTTCTGATCACATTTTGTCCGTCGGCCGTCTGTCTGTCTGTCCGTCCGTCTGTAAACTTTTCACATTTTTGACTTCTTCTCCAGAACCACTGGGCCAATTTCAACCAAACTTGCCATGAAACATCCTTGGGTAAAGGGGATTCGAGTTTGTTCAAATGAGGGGCCACGCCCTCTTTCAAGGGGATATAATTAGGAATTAGTGAAAAAATAATGACATCATTTAAAAATCTTCTTCTCAAGAACCACTGGGCCAGGAGAGATGAAACTTATATGGAAACATCCTCAGGTAGTGTAGATTCAAATTTGTTCAAATCATGACCCCCAGTGCTAGGGTGGGGCCACAATGGGGGATCAAAGTTTTACATAGAAATATATGGGAAAATATCTTTAAAAATCTTCTTCTTAAGAACAGCAAAGCCATGATTGGTCATATTTATATGGAAACATCCTCAGGTAGTGTAGATTCAAGTTTGTTCAAATCATGACCCCCGGGGGTAGGGTAGGGCCACAATGGGGGATCAAAGTTTTACATAGGAATATATAGGAAAATATCTTTAAAAATCTTCTTCTTAAGAACAGCAAAGCCCTGATTGGTCATATTTATATGGAAGCATCCTCAGGTAGTGAAGATTCAAGTTTGTTCAAATCATGACCCCTGGGGGTAGGGTAGGGCCACAATGGGGGATCAAAGTTTTACATAGGAATATATAGGAAAATATCTTTAAAAATCTTCTTCTTAAGAACAGCAAAGCCCTGATTGGTCATATTTATATGGAAGCATCCTCAGGTAGTGTAGATTCAAGTTTGTTCAAATCATGACCCCCGGGGGTAGGGTGGGATCACAATGGGAGATCAAAGTTTTACATAGAAATATATAGGAAACTATCTTTAAAAATCTTCTTCTTAAGAACAGCAAAGCCCTGATTGGTCATATTTATATGGAAGCATCCTCAGGTAGTGTAGATTCAAGTTTGTTCAAATCATGACCCCCGGGGGTAGGGTGGGGCCACAATGGGGGATCAAAGTTTTACATAGAAATATATATAGGAAAATATCTTTAAAAATCTTCTTAAGAACAGCAAAGCCCTGATTGGTCATATTTATGTGGAAGCATCCTCAGGTAGTGTAGATTCAAGTTTGTTCAAATCATGACCCCCGGGGGTAGGGTGGGGCCAAAATGGGGGATCAAAGTTTTACATAGAAATATATAGGAAAATATTTTTAAAAATCTTCTTCTTAAGAACAGCAAAGCCCTGATTGGTCATATTTATATGGAAGCATCCTCAGGTAGTGTAGATTCAAGTTTGTTCAAATCATGACCCCCGGGGGTAGGGTGGGGTCACAATGGGAGATAAAAGTTTTACATAGAAAAATATAGGAAAATATCTTTAAAAATCTTCTTCTTAAGAACAGCAAAGCCATCATTGGTCATATTTATATGGAAGCATCCTCAGGTAGTGTAGATTCAGGTTTGTTCAAATCATGACCCCCGGGGGTAGGGTGGGGCCACAATGGGGGATCAAAGTTTTACATAGAAATATATATAGGAAAATATCTTTAAAAATCTTCTTAAGAACAGCAAAGCCATGATTGGTCATATTTATGTGGAAGCATCCTCAGGTAGTGTAGATTCAAGTTTGTTCAAATCATGACCCCCGGGGCTAGGGTGGGACCACAGTGGGGGATCAAAGTTTTTCATAGAAATATATCTATAGAAAAATATCTTTAAAAATCTTCTTCTTAAGAAGAGCAAAGCCACCATTGGTCATATTTATATGAGCGCATCCTCAGGTAGTGTAGATTCATGTGTGTTCAAATCATGACCACCAGGGGTAGGGTGGGGCCAAAATGGGGGATCAAAGTTTTACATAAGAATATATAGGAAAATATCTTTAAAAATCTTCCTCTTAAGAACAGTAAAGCCGTAATTGGTCATATTTATGTGGAAGCATCCTCAGGTAGTGTAGATTCAAGTTTGTTCGAATCATGACCCCAGGGGGTAGGATAGGGCCACAATGGGGGATCAAAGTTTTACATAGAAATATATAGGAAAATATCTTTAAAATTCTTCCTCTTAAGGGCAGTAAAGCCATAATTGGTCAAATTTATATGGAAGCATCCTCAAAGTTTTACAAATGAATATATGGGAAAAAAATCTGCTGCTCAAGAACAGCAAAGCCATTCGTTATATTGATATGAAAGCATCATTAGGTAGTTTAAAATTCAACCCCCACCCCCACCGAACCCTCATAAACTTTTCAATACTGAGCTGATTTTTGCTTTTTTCCAAGCCAATGTGCTCAGGTGAGCGATGTGGCCCATGGGCCTCTTGTAATAATATATACTTATTCTGACATAAATGCTTGTCATTTCATTTTATTAAAACCTACCGATCGCATTGTCAAAAACAAACCAAAATTTTTACTTATTAGCAATAATTAGCGGGGGTGGTAATAACTGTTATTGAGGGATTTGCACCTGAAATATGTTGGCGGATGGCGATAGGCGGGGGATGGCGGTAAAACGGGGTTTTATATAGCGAGGAAATCGGGACTTGGGAACTTTTTTGGCGGTAGGCGGAGTTGGCATCATAACGGGGAGAAATATAACGGAGGAGCATTGTATGTAAATAATTTTATGTCAAACTTTCATATTGCTTTCCAGTCAAGAATCTGACTTTGAGCATGTTTTGATCATTTTAACTAAGCATTCATTTTTATTTTGTCTCTCTCTCTCTCTCTCTCTCTATATATATATATATATGTATGTATGTATAACATTCTTTCTTGTATTCTCAATCAAATAACCTGTTAGTTAAATTATATGCAAGGATTTCTTGATCAACACAATCAAGCAAAGGGGATTAACGCTCAATGACATTTGCTTCACTTATTACAATTGTGTACTCTGTTTGCCTCCTAGATACTCCTGAGAAAAGAAAAGGCACATTTACTTGTAATTATATTAAATACATTTACATTGATAATTTTGCATTTAGTATGTTTGCTTAGTACTCAGGGGCAGAGGGGAAGATTTTCAAATCATAAATGCATTTTTGATAATAAATCAGTAGAGCCCAAACCAAGCACCAGAGTCCCTGACCCAGAGGCAATGAAGATCACAATTTTGGAAGAGGCACCCTTTTTCAACATAGCTATGCATTTATTTTGTGTGTCTAATACCAAGGAAAAGAGGTTTTCAAAGCATTAATTCATTTTTAGTGTATAATAATTAGAGCCCCGCCCTAACACCAGAACCCCTGACCCAGGGGCCATGAAATTCACAATTTTTGAAGAGACACCCTTGTGCAACATAACTATGTATTGAGTTCATCGGCTTAATACCAAGAGCAGAGGAGATTTTCAGAGTTGATACATTTTCACTATATAATCATTAGAGCCCCGCCCTAACACCAGAACCCCTGACCCAAGGGCCATGAAATTCACAATTTTTGGAAGAGGCACTCTTCCTCATCATAACTATGCGTTTAGTTTGTTTGCTTACTAGCCAGAAGCAGAGGAGAAGACTTTTCAAGAAATTCTGCATTTTCACTAAATATTCATAAAATCCCACCCTAGCGCCAGAACCCGGACTCTGATGCTAAGAATTTCACAATAATAAAGAGTGCTTAATGCTGTTTAACAATCATGTCAACAGTTTGTCTGCTTGATGTCCAGGAGTAAAGAGGAAGATTTTTAAAGATTGCATTTATTTTGATGGTTTAAGCCCCACCCCTCAGACACACGAATTTCACAATTTTTACTCCCCTTCACCCATAAATGCTATATGCCAAAATTGGTTGAAATTGGTTCCGTGGTTCCAGAGAATAAGCTAAAAATGTTCAGAAGTTTACGACCGATTGACGATGAACGACGTACGACGAACGACGACGG